CTATCTCATACTTGTGTTGTCTTAGGTGGCTCCTGTCCACAAGTGTTTATAGCTCACTCTCTTGTAACAACGAGATAGCACCCAGAATAAGGAAAAGTGGTCAATCAATAGCGTGCCGTCAGACATTAGCCGAGGGGAAATTTACGTGGGGATTCCACGTCCTGTTGCAAAGCGCTGTAAACAGCTTGGCAAGTGTGTACTTCGGCCACTTTTTGAGGCGTGGTAGGCGTGATGGAGGGGAACGTTGATCACTATTGCCAACTTCTTCACCAATATCTGAATTCGTCTCAGGCTCCATCTCAGTCTGTGCCTCCTCAGCTTGCGCTGCTGCTGCTCTCTGGTCTCCAATCCACTTTGCCATCATGATTCTCCATCCTCCATAGATACAATGGCTAGAATATGATCAGCGTGGACAGTGCTGACAAGAAAATGATGGACTGACCGTCTTGCGTATGCTGCACTTCGGCTTGATACTTTGCTGCTGCATCCATATCGGATGTGTCGATGGGATGCTCACTTTTCCAGTGAGCAATGCATGCGTTGCAGTAGGTGCGATATTGGAGGCTATTGGCCTTCCTGCCACGCGTGAACTGGGCGGATAGTGACATGCCGGGTGTCAGAAGCTCGATGGTCCGGCTGGGAGGGTAAAAAAGTGGCCACGTCAGCGAGAGAGTTACGCCTGATGTGACGCGTCATTGATCCGATCAATATGACCCTACATAGGGCCCTATCGTTGGATGTCGACTACCTAGGGCCCTACGGTAGGGCCTATAGGGCCATATCACCATAGGGCCCTAAGCTCCCTCGCAGCAACACTGGTTCGACGGCAAGCTCTGCCTCTTCAGCACCAAGTCCTATCGCCGTATACCGCCAAACTAAGGCGTTTGACCGGCAGCAATGGCGACATCTTGTCAAACGGCAAGTTCCCCCCTTCCCCCATCGCCAAACGAAGCCGTTTGACTGGCAGCAAGTGCCCGAATCGACGCAGCGCAACCACAACCATCTCCCGTCGAACAAGCCGCCCTCCCGCAAGGTTTGCAAGCGATGAACTCCTGTAAACGAGCTCAGTAAGGACGAATAGCAAGAAATGACAAGAACACGCACTTCCGCGGCCAGCAAGTCTTTCACAACAACCACAGCTTCCCTCCTTCGCCAAACGAAGCCGTTTGACCGGCAGGACCTGGCCGAATCGATCCAGCGCGAGCGCCTCCACCTGCAGGCCGCCCTCATTCCGAATCGCTGGCGATGGCTCGAGCTTTACGGGGCAAAGAGTCGAAAACGAGCTGGCAGCAAGTCAGCATGGATAAACGGCAAGAAATGGCAAGAACGCGCACTTTTGCGGTCAGCAAGTCCTTTGTGACGGCTATAGCCGCCCTCCTTTGCCAAACGAAGCCGGTTGACCGGCAAAAGCTGGCCGAAACGACCCAGCACGAACATCTCCATCTGCAGCCAACCAAACACCAATCGCTTGGGTTCTCCCGCGCGTCTCTTGGCTCAAGCGTGTCCGAACTTGACAAATAAGCTTATAAACGAAATTAGCATCGATAAAGAGCGTTCAACTGGCAAGAACGCGTACCTCTGCGGCCAGAACACGACTTCAGCCGCCCTCCCTCCCCAAACGACGCCATTTGACACACAGGCATTGGCTGAATCGACCCAGCGCGAATATCTCCATCTCCAGCTGAACAAAACGCCCTCCCGTCAATTGCTAGCGCATCTTTTGACTCCGAATCCGATAAATCTGCTTGTAATCAAGATCAGCCTCGATAAGTAGCGTGAAAATAACAAGAACTCGCACCTTGGCCGCCAAAACATCCCCTTCAAAGCCGACAACCGCCGTCTCTTTGCAAATCCAAGTTCGGTATCCGACAAAGCTGCAAAAGCTTTGACAACGTCGGCATAAATCAAAAAGCAAGACTCAATTCCCCACCAATACTGGACACATGTTTGCTGCCCCAACGTAAGTCCCATCTTCGCGTCGTCCAGAACCACATCTGAAAGTACATCAGTTAGGCCAACGGATGACAGGGAAGCAAACTACGACGACTATCTGAACGCGCAGTCAGCAAGAACGTCAGCGAACTCGGTCGGAAACGGGGGCAAGAAATGTACCTCGGCTTTCTCTTTGTTCGCAGAACGACACGCATTGGCAAGAACTTCAAAACCGGTGTCAGGTTAATCCGAACGAAAAGATGCAATTGGTTACCAAGAAGCCGCCAAAATCCCTTGCAAATATAAACCCCGTCTCCGCGTCTTCGAGGACCACATCTGAAACAGGGTCAGCAAGCAAGAAAGCGAAAGCCACAACTCTGACTCCGCAAATACGAACTGTGCAACGATCAGCAAACTTGGTTGGCAACGGGGAGGAGAGGACGTGACAAACGGGTGGGAATGGGAATGGCGAGACATGTTGGCATCTGTGGAGCATGGTGACTGACCAGTCGAATAGTGGACGCGAAGACGGCTGCGAAGTGGTCAACAACATGAACAAGGATGCGATAGTGAATGGCAATATGAGTAGGGTAATGTAAGTATGAGGGAGAAATAAATGTACTACAGTATACTGTAAGGAGCACAGATGGGAGACAAGGAGCAGGAGCATACATACCTTCGCAGTCGACGACAGGCAAGAGCACGTGAACTTGACTTTGAGTGAAAGGCGAGGATGGGGGGAAAAGGGAAGGGAAGATGACGATTTCTAATCTCTAAGCGAGCTATTCTGGGGCGTGAAATACTTGAAGGAGGTCGTTCCCGATATGCCCAAGTTAAAACCTGGACGACGCGAGGTTAGTATGAGTCTTGAAAGCAGTCAACAACAAAAAGGCAAGTGAATGCAAATGAGTTCAACTTGGGGAGGACCGAGACCAAACCGAGACGGAAATAGACACCCAGTGACATTCGCACAGGGTCCACCTTAGTGCTGGCCAAATATGATTATATTATTTTATGGGCATAATATATTATAATCATATCATATTCAGAGCTTCAACCCAATAATATATTTGTAGTATAATATAATCATATTCAGCTGCAAAATATGAATATGTTATGAATATATTGAACTATAATCTAGTATGCATATCTCTTGATATGTTTGACATATTTGCTGCTAGAAAACAGAATCAAAAATATAAAATACATGCTGGATTGTCGGGGCAACTTCCTTTTCAAGTTGGGCCTCCCTGGGTTACATCATGATAGGACTCTCAAAATACAATCAGGGGCATTGCCACTAGTATTTGGTTAGCTAGTAGACACTTGATCAGCTCCTGACACTTGTTCCTACTAAGAGTAATGTATGAATCACCCTCTATAATAGATAATATGTGACATTTATCAGAAGTAGGGCTAACTCAGACTAAGATTAGTACTATGACTGAGTACATGGACTGAGAAAGTAGCTGTAATCATCCCCCTTACTGTAGTTGAATATTCTGTGACTATAATATAGTATAGTCATAATATAATATAATATATTCAAACATAATCATATTCAAGTGATCCACGAAGGGCATAATATATTCATAATATTCTTAATATATTCAATATTTAATCAAGCATAATATAATTCTGGCCAGCACTAGTCCACCTGTCATGTCCGAGGCTTCGATTCAACACGCGTGCTTGGTAACACGGAAATTAACACGGGCGACGGCCAAGTTTTGCAAAGATCATACACTTACGACGCCGCGCGGGCAATCGGCTGTGTGTTCAGGGTATAGGAACTATCAGCGTCCTTGATCGGTTGCCGCAGACTTGCGCTGTTAAGTCGATGCACAATCTGCGCTGGTTGTTTTCAACTGGAATAGCGTTCTATCGTAAGTCCCGATAGCGACCGGACACATAGGGGAGGTTTGGTGAGGTGGAAAAGAATATCTTTTCTGAATTGACCCCAGCTGAATGGGTGACGCGCAGGGATTCCGAGCCGTAGCCGGCTGTATTGCCTGATTCGGGTTTAGGTGTGAGTGCTGATGGCGAAAGAAAACTGAGCGCCGAAGGACAAGACGAGGACTGGGGATTTTGGCACGTGGCGCGTGAAATAGGCGTCGTTTTTGCTCTCAAATGGTGTTAAATTTGGCAAAAAGAGAGAATTTATTTATTTATTGCCCTATAGACTCGAGAACAAAAGACCTGAACGCGGGAGGAAGAAAACCACAGAGAGAGAGAGCACCAGCTGGGCCAGGATAAGATCCCTCAAAGCTTGAGCGGCTTCACAGCTCGTCACCCTGCCGCCTGTCAAATCAGCTCCGCTCGGATTATTGAAGAAAACTTTTACCTGAAGCGCTGTCTTGATTCTATCGTCCTCCAATTGTTTCACCTCGACAAAGCGATGAAGCAATCTAGGAATCGCGTCAGTAATGGGTGAGAAACAAAGAGGAGGTCTCCTCTGTCCCGATTGTGTTGACCAGTGCGATCTTGATCGAGGGCACATCGAACTGGTAGCATATTGAGTAAAAGGACGGTATGCGGAGAAATCGTACGGTCGCTGTATCCGTCGGTCCCAAGTTGAGTTTAACCGAGGAGTAGAGGTTCTTCTTGCCATCGTAAACGGCACGAGCTTCAGCAAAGCCACTAGGTGCAACCGCGTCTTGGAGGTGTCGGATTAGCTTCTCCGTGTTCAATGTTGTGGGCAGATTGTCCGGTGTAATGGCTGGGCGCCAAAAAATAGTCAGAAAGTACAAAGGGTATCGCGCACTCAAAGGACGCGAAATTGAGATGGACACTGGCATGGCCCGCACGCTACAAGCGAACAACTGTTCAGTTGCCTGCAGCAACTGCAATGCGTCTCGACATCGAAGAACTGGTCAATATTGACACCCCCAAACTGCTTGCGCGGTACGACGGAAAGCCTCTGGCACCAATTACTCAGAAACAGGTGCAACAAGAGGAACAGGCTGTGAAGGAATGGGTTGCGGTGAAGTTAGATGCCAAAGGTCGGACGTGGTAGGCTCTCCTTCTTGGTCGTAGATCAAGAAATCATCAATACATCATCAATACCATCAATACCCATCAATACAATCAATATTAATACTGGCGGGAGTAAAGAACGAGCGTCCCTTGGTCGGGTACAAGAGGGATGGTGCCATCTTGATGACGATGTTCAGTGCCTGCAAGAGAATCAGCTCCGCTCGGGTTATTGAAGAAAACTTGTACCTGGAGCGCTGTCTTGATTCTATCGTCCTCCGATTGTTTCCCCTCGACAAAGCGATGGAGCAATCTACGAATCGCGTCAGTAAGGCGCGACATTACAAACGACTCGGAACAGAAAGCCTACTCCGTCCCGATCGTGTTGACCAGTGCGATCTTGATTGCATATAGTTTTGGGGGACGATCTCCTCGAGCAGGACGATCTGGTGCCGGGACATCGAACTGGTAGCATATTGAGTCAAAGGACGGTATGCGGAGAAAGCAGATCGTACTGTCGCTGTATCCGTCGGTCCCAAGTTGAGTTTAACCGAGGAGTAGAGGTTTTTCTTGCCATCGTAAACGGCACGAGCTTCAGCAAAGATACCACGCGCAACTACGTCCTGTAGGTGTCGGATTAGCTTTGTGTTCAAGGTGGTCGGAAGATTGTCTGGTGTGATGGCTGCGCGTAAAAACGAGTAGTCAGAAAGTACAAAGGGTGCCGCACAGCTCAAAGTACGCACCGACTAGGGATTGTTAGCGGGATGTGAGTCTTTAGTGAAGAGAAAGCGTACCATCGTAGTGATAAATGTTTCCATCGGGGATTGTGGGGGGAAGAGCATTGATTATGACCTCCAACGGGCGCCCAGCGGTGCCGTACCCGCTGCGGCGAACACCAACAGTAGTAAGATGGGCAGCTACGCATAAAATGAGAATATAAAGGAGACCATTGAAAGGGAAACAAGCCTGGTTGCTGCAGTGGGGCCGCCGCGCCACCACCCCTGCCTCCTCCCCCACCACCACCGCGACCGCGACCGCGACCTCCTGCCCATTGCCCAGTAGCGCGGGGCGGCATGTCACTTGAATCGATTTGGTGAGAAAAACGCGCTGTGGTTGTGGTTGTCCGGAAACAAACACGAGTGTCACTGTCACTCGTCACAACCCACCTCCAAATGTATGCGGTCATCTCGGCGTCTAAAGAACCTCCATGCGTGCCTCGTTGCGACGCGGAACAAAGAGTTTTCCACTCCCAGCCTCGCCCCAACCAGCCCCCCCGCACTGTCTCCGCCCTCTTGTCGGCTGTGATCTTGAATCGCGACCCCGAATTCGAACATTGTCCTCACGTTTGTCAAAGCGCTTCCTTACAGAGGCAATTCTCGTGGGATTTCCGGTGGCGGTGGGGTTACTTCCATCGACTTTTAGCACGGCACGAGGACTGGAGCCAAAGTTTTTGTACTGCGGAGAACAGCACGAGGTCTGCCGAACTGTCCATGGGGCTACTGAAGCTACAGTGATGTTCGTGGAACTTGGCCTGGACAGATGACAGATGACAGATGGCACGGTATGTTTGTGGTGACATTTGTCCCCATTTGGTATCTCCCAAAAGAGACGTGCCTAATTAGGCATCTCCCAAAAGGGATAGTCCCGATTAGGCATGTCCTAACCCCAAAAGAGACAGGCCCAATTTGGAAGTGACCCCAGGAGCCGGTCCCAATCAATAATTGATGGGCCTATAAATCGAGTGATAGTTGTGATCTGTGTGATGGCAGTGTGATCTCTTGTGCAAATGGCTGATCTGACTTGTTTAAAGTATAATAGGTGTAAAACATACACAACTATACCCTATAGAAGGCAGTTTCTCAGTGATATATAGGTAAATATGTGTGATGGCACTGTCAGATATGATATAAATGTTTGATCTGACTTATTCAAGTCCAATAAATGTAAAATACTACACTTTCTCAGTATAATTTATTACAATTCAAGCTATATATCATACAAAATTCACTTATCTGAACTAGTCTGTATTTCAATAAGATAAATCATACACTAATATAATAAATGATGGTCAAGCAAAAATAATATTTAATATTGAAATAATACAAAGTTTACAAAATACTGAATCCAACCTGAGAACTACAGGGTATGTTAGGATGTGAACTGCTGCGAACTGGACAATCAAGTCTTTGACAATCAGCACAAGGACTGGCACAGGAAGATCCACCAGGGCAATTTGGACTTCGACACTTATAACACTTCCGTCGTCTGCCTTTACTCTTTTTGTCTTTAGGCCTCTCAAAGATAAATTGAGTAGAAGAACTAGATGCCATAAATTGAGCAGAAGAACCAGATGCCATTTCTCCATATGTTCTCTTCTGAGAAGTTCCAGACTGTTTATCTGAGATATCTGGGAGAGCTAGAAAATCTGTAGCCTGGTTTTGCCGTGCATTGTATGTAGTAAATGAAGAGGGACCTGAGTTATTAAAAGATTCTGTCTGATTGATTGCACTAGTTTCAGCATTTTGAACAAATTTCTCCTATAAGGGAAAATTATCAAGAAGTGTTGGATCAAGTTGCATAAAATCATCAGGAAGATCTGTCTGAAAGTCTGAACCTTTTTCTAATAAGGTCCTAACAGACTGAGTAGAGGATGCAGGCTTGATCAGACCACTATATTGGACAGGCTCTATATTGAGTTGCTCTGCTGGAATAATTTTTGCTCCAGATGCTCGGCTGGGATCTTGATGCTCTGTTTGTAATGCTTGTAAGGCAGGAAGTGCCTAAGCCATAGACAACTTTTCAGTTGCCTTTCTGAGCCATTTATTATGGTATTGCTCTAAATGCTCAGGAAGCTATATGGATACTATTTAAGAAAGGTAAAGTTATAAATTAAGCTGTAACATACCTTATAAAAAATTGTTTTACCATCTGCTGATGCATTCCATTCTAGTACACCCTCATGCCAATTTGGTGTCCCACCTATAGGTTTGAAAGATGTTGAACTTGTCATCAGATTATTGAAATGAAGCTTTCCCTCAGTGGAGTGCACTGATATTGCAGCATATTTAGTTCCCTGCTGAGCAGCTAGATAGGAATGTGCAAACTTTCCATCTATACTAGAGTTGTATTTCAGCATGGCTGCAGACTGCCTAACTATGTCCTCAACAGGCAAAATACCAATACTTTCAGAACTTGGCTGATAAAGAGTACCATTGATCCAGCCACGTAATAAAGGTGCATCAGGAACATAAAGTCTAATAGCAGGCTCCTCCAATAATGCTTGTAACCTGTCATAAACTGTAAGGGCAACCCTCTCCGACGAAAGCCTAGCAGGGGAGGATCCAAAGCGTGAAGAAGAGCTACGGGAAATACACGGAGGGACCGACCTAGCAGGGGAGGATCCAAAGAGAAGAAACTCTAAGGGTCTGCCTGCTAGGGCGCCAACTATATACTGGTCGTCCATAACTGCCGACATAGAGCGCAGAAGGCCTGTGCGGCGTCGCAGGCCATGTCCCAAGGTGATCGTTGGGAGGGTCTTGACGGATCGGTGATTGTGCGGGCGAAGGAGGCCGTGGACAATGGTTGGGATGGGTCGGGCCGTCCGAAGGGGCGCCGGTCGGATGCGCCTCGGATGCGTTCGGAGGGTCCGAAGGAGGCCGAAGCGGGGGTTCCCCTGACATAAACTTCAACATTGTAGTGCCCTTTGTATTGCTTGCCAGTGTGATTTAAAGTGCCTACAACCAGATTATGTATAAAGACATAATCTCTGACACGACATGCAGCATGCTGTATAGAAGCACCAGATTTTGGCATTCACTCACGTAAAGAGTGATGAATTGCACCTTCAGCATAGTTTGTACCACGAAAGCACCGGAAAAGAGGTAGATTTGCATTGTCTTTAACATCTATGCCCATCTGTATATAAAATGTATATCCAGGTGGGTCAGATATCCAGCCAAGTAAGATTGCCTTCAAAATCTTAGTTGCTTCATGCCAAGCTGCAGCATTAAATAATGGCAGTCCAGTTTTAGCACATTTGAGAGGTCCATATGTTGAGTATACTTTTCCAACAGCTGTATGAAGCTGCTTTGGAGAACGAACAGGACCTCGCGCTCGCTAAGTTGGAAAGCGCGGGTTACCACATGGGAACGCGGGATGTCTACGGATATACCGACGACTTCGAGGACTTGATGGACCTCGCTGGCTTCGAAGACGCATTGGTTAAGGTAACCAAGTACCGCCACAGACTTGACCCCTTGATCAACAACGGCATCACCTCTTCGAACGACCCCCCAGACCTCCGTGACTATCTGGGCTGGCGCACTCGGGCTTTCCGACAATATGAAGCCCTGGTGCGAGCGAAGCTCATTAAAGGGAACGGCTACCCTGCGGACCGCCGGGAGCTCCGCGCGGCGCCTTCCCCATCACTCGTTCGGCAACTCCGTTCCCCATCCGCCCGGTGGCCCCGCCTGTGCCACCCCGGCCCGCGCCCCGTCCCGGTACCTCCGGCTCCTGTCCCTATGGAGCTGGATCGTACTAGGGCTCGGGGTGCCCCTCGTCGAGCCTGCTTCAGATGCGGCAACCCCAACCATTTGGCTCGGGACTGTCCGCTCCCCGCCGACGTCCGCCATGTGGACATCCTCGACGAGGTAATCCAGCAACTTGGCGATGAGATGCTGGGAGAGCTGCTTTGCGCGGTTGTCCGATACTGCGGCCTTAGCGGAGGCGCATTCGGAGGCTCCGGCAGAGGATTTTGTCCCCCGCGACGAGTGACTGGTGTGCCCTCGTTCGCGTCCATAAATCGTTTCACTTGTTTGTATGATGAATCAACTCCCTTGCCCTACAACGAGCCCGAAACGAAAGACGCACCCTCTGCCCCTCCGAAGCCCCCCGTTCGGATTCGCCGACTTGCCTGGGAGAAAAAGCTACCTGGCAGTTATACCATCTCTGCCGCTCCTGGCGTTAACTCGCTGCACCTCCCCCTTGAACTTGAGTCCACTGCGAACGCGCTCAAGCTCTCCCTCTCGGGTCTGGTCGACTGCGGAGCTACCGGACTTTATCGACACAGAATATGTCAACCGGAATAATGTGCCAGTCCGAAATCTCTCAGTACCCATCCCGGTCTACAACGTCGACGGCACCCCCAATGATGCTGGGTCTATCCGCCAAATCGCGGACCTCGTTTCTACGGTACAACGGGCACTCCGAACCGTTCAGCTGGCTGTAACCCACCTTGGGAAACAGGACCTGATACTCGGATACTCCTGGCTCAAAAAGCATAACCCCGAGATCAACTGGGAGACAAAGGAGGTGAAAATGAGTCGTTGCCCCCGCAGCTGCTCTACCTGCCGTGATGAAGAGCGGACCGAACGCGCCGAGGTTCGGCGGCTCCGACTCCTTAAATCACGTCTACTTGCGGGCGCCTTCCCCACTGTTTGCGCTATCGATATCGCTGGCCCAGATGATGCTGACGACGAGCTCGGAGCTGCTCCGGACCCTCCGGAGCCCTCACCAGATCTCGACGGCGACGAGCATCTTGAAGACGGCGACCGCATCTTCTACACCTCCTTTCGCCCAGTTGAGGAGATCCCGCTGGCAGTACAGTGTCCCAACGCCTTGCAGAGGCCTTCGCCCGTAACTCGGCCCCCCCGCCCGGAGATCCCGGACTGGGCCAAGGAGTTCCAAGACGTCTTCGACAAGGAGTCCTTTGACACGTTACCAGAACGAAGGGCTTGGGACCACGCTATCGAACTCGTCCCCGACGCGAAGCCCGCTAACTGCAAGGTGTACCCGATCTCTCCCCTGGAACAGCGAACTTGACGAGTTCATCGAGGAAGGACTTGCCACAGGCCGTATTCGCCCTTCGAAATCTCCGATGGCCTCCCCGTCTTCTTCGTTAAGAAAAAGGACGGAGGGCTTCGGTTTGTCCAGGACTACCGCGCCCTCAACGCAATGACGATTAAGAACCGGTACCCCCTTCCGTTGATTAACGACCTTATCAACAGGCTCAAGGGCGCTCGTTACTTCACCAAACTCGATGTTCGCTGGGGTTTTAATAACGTCCGGATTAAAGAA